TGTAATATCCATGATTATTTATGTATGATCATATGTAATATACATGATCCACTACATGGTTATGTATGATGAAGTAATATACATGATTATATACGATGCAATGTAATATCCATGATTATTTATGTATGATCATATGTAATATACATGATCCACTACATGGTTATGTATGATGATATATAATACACATGATCTACTACATGGTTATGTATGATGATATATTTCTTTATATACAGGTACCTGATCCCAACTCCGGAATGCTTGGGACCTGAGCCATGCTGGATTTCAAAATTTTCTAGTTTTGGGTTGTTCGGCCTGGCATGTACAAATGATATAAATAAAGTCTGAAATACTTACATAGAAGGTTGTTATTTTAGACATTTTCATGATAACAATGCCAGTCAACACAAGAGAGAGGGCTGGTTTTGAACTGAGACTGCATGTACTGCATCAACTTGCCATGCCCCCCAAACAAATCGGCTATGCAGTTAATTAATCTAAAATTAAGTTTAAAAGAAATATTAACATACTTATTTGTATTTATCTGTTTGTACAGTGATTTTTTTAATTCAGTTTCAGTAATCTGAAGTTGGAAGTGTGCATCAGAAACCAGAAAAAAGTTCAAGAAAAAGGAATTTCTCCAAGGTAATGGAGTGTTCACCAGAATAACCAGTTTCTGGAACATTTCGTTTTGGGATTGTCTACCTGTATCTACTATTTTACTTGAAAAACAACATTCGGTACTCTTCAGAAATGTTAAAACTTCACTTTCCTGGCACATCACGATTCCCATCTATTTAGAATGAACTGGTTTTGTAAAGATATAAACTTACCTGGAGAAGGCAGGTTGATATTTGATAGAGTTGGAACCAAAGGTAGTGGCTTGTCACTGCAAATAAAATACTTCATGACAAACCTTATGATAACTGCGAATAAAAAAAACAATTTGATAAACACACACAGATCAGGTATGGTGTTATGTGTTGGTGTCACTCAGTGGTGTTATGTGTGTGTTTGTGTGTGCAGTATATTACTAAAGTTTATCTTTATATGTATAATAAAGAGGGCTACATTTTTATACAAATATAACTGCTCCTGTTGAAATTAAGACATTAAAAAGTCTTCAGATACGACACCTTTAAATAATAATTACAAACTCACATTATAAATACTTATGAAATTATTTAATTTTGTCTCGTTTGCAGTGTTTGAAATACTGTTGCATTTTCTCTTAAACTTAATTTCATGTAAGCCTAAAATTTATGTTCAGAATTCAAAATTTAAGTAAAACCACAAATATGATTAAAAGATTGGAGGAAGAAACTAAAGGAAAAAAATGCCCCCCCCCCTTCTGTAAATTCATAGTCAAATGCAGGAATAGAGTTTTAAAAATATTTCTTCTTAATAGTTCTGTTTTTATGAAACTCATATTTCTTACCAAGTATTATTTGCTTTGGGCTGAGAAAACCGTAAGATGTAGTCCAAACTGGGCATGTGTGAAAAAGTTGATGATGGAGACTTCCTCAAAGCTTGAAGTAAATTAGGTCGGAACTGAGAATCTATACACCAGAGGGAGCCTTTTCCAATGTTCTGGGAAAGTTTTATAAACTATAATATTAAACTGAAGATAATAACCCATAATTTTAAACATTTTGTTCTATAATATCCACACTACTCTGAACAACATGCGAATAACCATGTAGTGAATCATGTATATTACATATCATCATACATAACCATGTAGTGGATCATGTGTATTATATATCATCATACATAACCATGTAATGGATCATGTATATTACATATCATCATACATAACCATGTAGTGGATCATGTGTATTATATATCATCATACATAACCACGTAGTAGATCATGTGTATTACGCTTGGAAAGCCTCATTCTTACTACGTGTGGAATAAATACTCTGTTGTTCATTCTTACTACGTGTGGAATAAATACTCTGTTGTTCATTCTTACTACGTGTGGAATAAATACTCTGTTGTTCATTCTTACTACGTGTGGAATAAATACTCTGTTGTTCATTCTTACTACGTGTGGAATAAATACTCTGTTGTTCATTCTTAAAGACGCCTTTGGAAGTTAATACAATGGTGATACACTTGGTAACCAAAATTGTTTTTCAAATTTAGGAATTATGTAAACAATATTTACATCACTAGAACACCCGTGTATTGTTCTACTTTTAACAACTATAGGCTACTAATTAAAACCATTTTGAAGATAAACATTTGAGTCAGCTAGTTACACATTTATCAAGCAACAATTCAATCCTCTATACTCAACAAAAATCATACTCTTACCAACAATATTACATTATTATAAAATTCAGGTATATTTTTAACATTGAAGAGTCCAAGAACACTAAAAATTACTGCCAATTCGAGTGAAAAAAGTCAAAGCTTTTTCATGTTTCATACATCAGTAACTGAAGACATTTATAATTTTGTTGTTTTCATCTTGAAAAACTATCACTGAATTCTGTAGTGGCTACAAGTATATATGAGATCGATATGTTTTTATTTTTATATGATCTACATTTCTCACTACATTATAATTTCAAAAGAGCTTCACCATTATAGCTTCACCAAGATGAACTGAACAATTAATATTCTTCTTGAATTTTTTCAAGAATATCAGATGTTTTACACCTCCCTTCATTTAACTTAGAATCAAGTCTTGATGTTTGTAGATATACGTAAACACAGTAGACTTCAATAAACAATACAAAAAGCAGCTATTCTAGTCTTAATATTAAGGTTCATAGATGTAACTAAACACAGTAGACTTTAATAAACAATACAAAAAGCAGCTATTCCAGTTTTAATATTAAGGTTCATAGATGTAACTAAACACAGTAGATTTCAATAAACAACACAAAAAGCAGCAATTCTAGTCTTAATATTGAGGTTTGTAGGTGTAACTAAACACAGTCTAGAGACTTCAATAAACAACACAAAAAGCAGCAATTCTAGTCTTAATATTGAGGTTCATAGATGTAACTAAACACAGTAGACTTCAATAAACAATACAAAAAGCAGCTATTCCAGTCTTAATATTGAGGTTCATAGATGTAACTAAACACAGTATACTTCAATAAACAATACAAAAAACAGCTACTCTAGTCTTAATATTGAGGTTCATAGATGTAACTAAACACAGTATACTTCAATAAACAATACAAAAAACAGCTACTCTAGTTTTAATACTGAGGTTCATAGATGTAACTAAACACAGTATACTCCAATAAACAACACAAAAAGCAGATATTCTAGTCTTAATATTGAGGTTCATAGATGTAACTAAACACAGTAGACTTCAATAAACAGTACAAAAAGCAGCTACTCCAGTTTTAATATTAAGGTTCATAGATGTAACTAAACACAGCCCAGAGACTTCAATAAACAAACTCTGATGTAGGCTGTGTACTTTGTGACTTCAGAACTAGTCCTTTTCCAACCATCTCTTTCTGTGCAAATTTTGAGCCAATTTATATGTATTTCTGATACTTAGTCCTGATAAGTACTGGTTAATGTATAGCTTAATGATTTGTATTATTTGTCCCTCCCTAGGTTTTACATGTTTCAATCAAAATTTTGTATTTTCACTAGTAGTTTTAATCCAAATCAGTCAGGGTGAGGCTTGCAACAGTTTCTCCCTGACATTGGTTTATTTTGTTTTACATGAGCAGCTCTTATATTTTTTATTTATTAAATGTTTATGCTTACAGTAGGTTTAACTTAATTTTTCTGTTTTCCAGATGATTTTTCCTGAATTTATTGGTTTTTCAACAATTCTGGCATTCACAACTTTCAACAAAATGAATAATTTGTTAAAAGAAGGGTGTCAAATTAAATTTACAAGGGTAGTCAAGTTTATAATCGTATTATCTAATTATTTAACAAAATTTTAATTTATAAAAATTTAAACTTCACATGAGAGTTAGTTATAAGACCTCACAAACCTCAACATATGGAGATTATATTAACCAACATCAAATGCTTGCCATTTCTACCTGTCATAGCATTCTTGCTGATACTTTATTTACCTGTTAAAAATCTACTTATAGTTATTAATTCAAATTATACATATAAGAATCACCTATATTAAGTGTTCCTTGATGCCTATTTTCCCAGATTGATATTAAATTCTTTATCAACACTTTAAGAAACACTGTTTGACAGATGACTTACTCAGGTTTTTCTTCAAATAATCCTGGACTTGGGTATTTTTATCTATGAATTATGATTTGAATTTGTTTTAGGGGAAAAAACTTAACTTATAATAAAGAAAGTTTTATAATTTGGTTTTAGTGTTAAACTTTAATTAGTTCCTAAGCAGCTATGAGGTGCAGGAATATGTTGTCCTTTTTCAGTCAGTCATACGTGGAGTAATTCGTCAAACTCCATCCAAGTAATGTACTTGAAATTCTAACTTTAACAAGTTCTCTGAAACAGATTATGTGGAAGTAACTTATTCAACTTAAAGTTCTGCTTGTGTTTCAGTTTTTGTGTTAACGTTGTTAATCAGGTGGTTTCAGTTAAATGTTAATATTGTTAATCAGGTGGTTTCAGTTTTTGTGTTAATATTGTTAATCAAGGTGGTTTCAGTTTTTGTGTTAATATTGTTAATCAGGTGGTTTCAGTTTTTGTGTTAATATTGTTAATCAAGTGGTTTCAGTTTTTGTGTTAATATTGTTAATCAAGTGGTTTCAGTTTTTGTGTTAATATTATTAATCAGGTGGTTTTAGTCAATCCATGATATGTTATTTCTTAGTTCTTTCTTTGCTGATTCATGTTGAGTAGCACCCCAGTGGCTCAGCGGTATGCCTGCAGACTTATAATGCTAAAAACTGGGTTTCGATACTCGTGGTGGGCACAGCACAGATAGTCCATTGTGTAACTTTGTGCTTAACCTCAAACAATCACACAATCAAAAATCATGTACTAGACTGTTTCTTCTTCCAAAAGACGACATTGACATGAGAAATATGCAGGATATTTCTGTAGACAATGGTTTGTAGTTTTGAAATAAAGGAACTTGGAAATGACTTGATGGCACTTGCAAGTTGTTAAGAAATGAATGTCCAATGATAAGTTCCGGAGTTTGAGGGCAATATTTTCCAACGAACAAAATAACCTTAGAGTATCATTCACATATTGGTGTTTAATAACACTAGCAATATATTCAATCGATGAGAATCGAAGTTTAACGATGAACAATAGAAGGATGGCAGAAACAACAAACATTTGATACATAACTTAAATTCTCAGATTGGATTATTCTTCTAAATTTTTCCTGTTGTTATAACACTAAGAAAATGAAATATTTTCAGTTACTAAAAAGGTTAAAGTGTAAACTTATGGCTTATTTTGGTAAAACTGTTTAAGATTTCTATATTGTTTTATACAGTTTTAAAGATTGCTGATTTTTCTATTACAGAACCTTAAATTGTAATTAAAGAAACTTTTCACTTAACAAAAAAAAATGTCAAATGAAGCAGTTGAAAGTTCAGGTATTTGGGGATAAAAATTGGATAAGTGGTTAAATGAACAACAAGGAAGTTAGTTAGAATTGCTTAGTTATATTTAAACAAAAAAACTATTTAACTATTGTTATTAAAATATTGTTTCCAAAGGACAAGTGGTGACAAAAAGTGTTAAGCAGTTTTTTTTTCTGGTAGTCAGGATGTGTTGAATTAAATTTTTGATATTTACTGTAAAATTGTCTAACTTTTGCTTTTGTATTACAGAGCTCTTCCCGTATTTGTCCAAAAGGCTAAATGTTTCTGCTGTAAAAGGTTTGTAGTTGTTCCAATGGTTGTTGTTATAAGTTCGTTAAAACCATCAGCTTGAAACTTTTCTTGTTTCCCTGAGTTCAACATAACACTAGCTTGATGGTTTGACGGTTCTTCTGAATGATGAGTAAAGTTATTTCAAGTAAAAATAGAATAATAAATAATTAGTGTTAAAATAATTAAATGACATTGTGTTATCAATCCTAACCCTAATTCTGAATTGTAAATCGTTCGTATATACAATTTACCAACTCAGTCTAGTTCACACCATAACAGTGGTTGATAATTACACTTCACCAACTCAGTCTAGTTCACACCATAACAGTGGTTGATAATTACACTTCACTAACTCAGTCTAGTTCACACCATAACAGTGGTTGATAATTACACTTTACCAACTTCTTTACACCATAACAGTGGTTGATAATTACACTTCACCAACTCAGTCTAGTTCACACCATAACAGTGGTTGATAATTACACTTCACCAACTTCACACCATAACAGTGGTTGATAATTACACTTCACCAACTCAGTCTAGTTCACACCATAACAGTGGTTCTTCATGCAGTTTTATGATATAAATAGCGTCTGTACCACTACTGAGTTTGTTGTATCCTAGCCGGCCTGATGAGCCCTGGTATTGGTCGAAAGGCCTTATTAGGTATAGCATATATAGTGTGGTTGACATATCGTTATATGCTGTTCTTTACTTTCACTCTTCCGTTGTTAGGAACCATTGCTTCTTCTAAAATTTTATTAAACATTTCAAGGAATTAACTTGCATGTTTTCCACCACCTTATTCATCAGCTTGCATCCCTTGTATGCTTGATGAATATCTGTAACAACATTAGGCCTAAATGTCCGTGTGTAGTTAATAAGTAGTATCCAGAAAGCCAACACAATAAGAAAGGGAGCGTGAGTGGGAATGTCAAGTTTTTCATTAAGCACAGGTTTTCTGATGTACAGGCAAGCCTCAGCATAGAACTACAGAGCTGGTTTTCACTGTGTGTAGGCTGGGTTAGCAATTTGTGAAATACCAGCTACAACATCTTAAGTCCGGCTCGTTAATTACATTGTAAGTTATGGAACTATAGGGTTGGTTTTCATTGATGACACAGAATCCTTTTTAGTACTCCAAATTAGATATTGTAAAAAGAAGAATTTTAAATGTGAAAATGTATTTGATGTACTATATATTTGGTGAATGAATTTATTCATTGTAATTTTAATAGAAAAAAAAATGTAAGACTATAACATATTGTGGAAAAAAATTATAGTAGGTTTTGGATAAAAAAAGTAAAATTGTATGTATCAATGAGTGTAAAATTTATTTATATACTACGT